TCAGTAACCTCATATGCATGCAAAAGGTGGACAGTGAATAAGGAAGACCGTAGAAGAATTGATGCCTTTGAGTTATGGTGTTGGAGAAGAATATTGAAAGTGCCATGGACTGCCAAAAGAACCAATAGAACTGTTTTGGAAGAATTGCAGCCAGAGTGCTCCTTAGAGGCCAAGATGGCCAAACTTGGTCTCTCCTACTTTGGACATATTGTCAAGAGGGACATGTCACTGGAGAAGACTATCGTGTTTGGTAAGGTGGAGGGACAGAAAAAAAGAAGACCCCCAAAGAGATGGATTGGCCAAGTGGCAGCATCGATGGACTCAAGCATGGCAACAGTAGTGAGGCTGGCCCAGGATCAGGCAGTGTTTTGTACTGCTGTGCATAAGATCACTATGGGTCGGTACTGACATGATGGCACCTAAAAACAACAAGATTAAAAGTAAAGTAGGCTACGCCCTAGGAAACTCCCCTTATATCAGATCAGGGCTATGACCTGAGTCAGGGTGTTACATCTCAAGTGAAGCCTGCCTTATTAGCATAACAAACATAACCTGATCTACATTAATCATTAATATAACCTAATCCTGCCTCATTTACACAAAGTAAAGATTTACAACATATCAAAATAATGAGGGATAATTACATCAGATCATAAAATTGAAGACCACCATTCAATATTAGGAATCATGGCCTAGTCAAGTTGACATATTTTAAAGGACATAATTCAGTACATGTCGCTCTACCCTTTTGTCCACCTAAAATTTATGTATTTGCCACCTGCAAAACACATTCACCCAATCATATCTTCCTAAAAGTCTTCAGTCAGCTCAAAGTCCAGCATTTCTTCTTCTGAATTCTCTAAATCAAATATGGGTGAGACTTTACATATATTCCATCCTGGGGCAAATTTCCTCTTAATCTGTGAGGTCTAGACCGCAAGGTACCTGTTTCTAAAGTAGAATGATTAACCACATACAAGTTAGTGACTTACATTACAAAAGAGAGAAATTGGAAAGATGGAACAACAGGAATCAAGCAAGTCCAGAACCCAGCAAGATGATTTACATTAACTTTCAGGTGTGAAAATAATTGTAAGTTTTCTGAGATCATCTAGGCATGCTCCTGCTCTCCAGACTCTGGATGTAGGCCATGCTCTTTGGTTCTGGATGGAGGCCTCTTGACGCGAGGCTTCAGCTCCATTCTCTTGTCCCACTAGATTGACAATTAGTCTTCCTTGGCTTTGGGCAGTCCCATTCTAGCTGAGTGATGACCCGCTCCCTTGGCCCTGGAAAACTCCTTGGGCAGCCTCACCTTCTCAGCTTTGAGCAGTGGTTCTGGCCCTACCTCTTGGCATTTGTGAATGGTAGCCCCACGTTTCAGAACCAAGTTGGTTAAGATCTGACTCTTTGAAACCTAGTAGACTGTGGTCCCACCTTTTGAAACTCCGGAAGTCCTAACCTAACCTAACCCTTTTTGAGATTGAGGTCCTTGTTTCTTCAGCTTCAGCTTCCTAGTTTCTTGGCCTCTCAACCCTTCAGCCCCATAGTACTCTTGGGCCAGCCTGGCCTCTGCTGTGCTCAGTGAATTGTCACAAAGCTCTTTAGCTCTACCAGTAAGTGCCCAGAGGCATCTTACTTTGCTGGTAGCCTCACCCCAAAGGCACACTTGCTCTGTGGGTCAGTGAGCTTGAGTCCACCAAGATCCTGGAGGCACCCTGTTCTTACAAGCCTCCTGTCCAAAGGTGCTCGGCTTTCTTGCTTCATGGCCTGGGAAGCCCACATTACTATCTCTAGCCAGTCTCCTGGTTCTCTCCCTCTGCTGCTGCCATCTTTCTGCCACTTCGTGCCGTTTATCACCATCTTCAGTGTTACAGCTCTCTCTTCCTGTCTCCTGGTCTAGGAGGTTCCCAGCACAAGGATTCCAGGTCCATCGAACGCTCTTCATGGCTTTTCTTTCCTGGTGGTAATTGGTCCCTCCCATTTTGCTTGCTTTCCTCTGCTTTTATCTTTTTAAGATGAAAGGTGGTGCAGATCATACCCCAGCGAATCTCCCCTTACATTAGAGCAGGTCTGGTGTAATGTGTCGTTTGAACTGTAAGGTCGGTAGTTCAAGCTCACCAGCTGCTCCTGGAAACCCTATACAGGGTCACTATGGGTCGGAATTGACTCAATGGCACTTAATAATAACAACAACATGATCTGAGTAAGTGTTGTGTCCCATCCCAGTTCTGCCTCATGAGCTTAACAAACATGCCCCATCCTCATTAACATAACCTGATCCTGCATCACAGAAGTCAGGATTTATAGTGTAGCATAAAATGCAGGATAATTACATTTGATCACAAAATGGAGGATAGTCACACAGTGCTGGGAGTCATGCCCTAACCAAGGTGACATATGTTTGTGGGGAGAAAGAAATTCATTCCTTGATATTCCCTAGATACTCAAAATTCCATTCAGTAAATTTGTGGAATGAGTGCTGCCTTCTTTGCTGTCTCAAACTAAAAGTTACCCTTTTCCTTAGAGCTGTGGTTAGAACAGGACTTCTTTGACCTTAAAGAAATTTAACAGGTACTACTTTCTCTTGTAGCAGCTCTGGTAGCATAGCGGTTATGAATCGGGCTGCGAGCCGCAAGGTCAGCAGTTCGAAACTACCAACGGTTCCGCGGGAGAAAGATGAGGAGGTCTGCTCCCGTAAAGATTTACAGCCTCGGAAGCTCTGAGTAGGGTCACTATGAGTGGGAACCGACTCCACGGCACATAACAACAACAGCGACTTTCTTTTGTAGCTTTCTAGTTTATGAGTTACCTTTCTTGTGGCGTGAAGAGACTATATTCTGTGTAGTTTTGTGTTCTGCAGTGTGGTATATATATTTAAGTATTGAATACTGGGTACTACTCATTCTTATTTTATATTAAACAAGCCCAGTGGACAAAATGTCAACTTCTCCACTCCATGTGACCCATAGCTCCCTGTGGTGTTCTCTCCTTATTCTGTCGTCTTTTCCTTTTGACTAACTTCGGGGGCCTTCTCTTCACCATCTTCCATCTAGTTGTTGAGGTGACTACTAAATCGAATGCTAATTCAGACCTGGATGCTTGTTTTAAGAATTTTGTTAAGGTCAAAAGTTAAGATTAATTGGATTGTGACAACCTCTGATGTTTTTTTATTTCCCATCTTTGAACGTTTGGGCTCTAAGCTTGCTCGTGGGATAAATAGTAGTCTCTTGGGTTTTAGTATATTTTTATCTTAATTCTTTTAGAAAATGGTTTGAGATTGACTTAAGAATTTAAACTATTTCCCCTCATAATTTGTAAATTACCAGCCTTATTTTTTGTTGTTTAATATCAGTTATCATTTAAATTAAAAGTTGACGAAATCTTGATTATGAAAATAAATTTATTTTTCTTTCCACAGTGACATTGTGAGGAAGATTGACCAGTCTGAATTTGAAGGTTTTGAGTATATCAATCCTCTTTTGATGTCTGCAGAAGAATGTGTCTGATCCTCATTTGCCAACTGTGCATTTTGCTTGTGTTGCCATTTAATGCATGGATAAACATGTTACCTGCCTGGTTACAATGATAGAGGTTTTAAACTAACTAGTTTTCATTTGCCATGTATGAAAAATCACTCAATAGCTTCTATTAGTGCCTATAAGAGTCAATTATTACATCTAAGTTCAACTATAAGAAAGAGAGAGAGAGAGAGAGAGACTACTTTCCAGACAATCAGTTATATCACAATTTAGTTGTACTGGTTCTTCAGTGGCCTACTTAAGAGTGAGGAAGTTGTCTGTTTTATTTACAGGAAATATTTGACATTGCTTTAAAAGACTGCCTGTTGCATTGAGAGGCACAGAGTGGGATTATATCATAAGCATTCTATAATTTTTGTCACTAATGTTTAATTTTTGAATAAAAGATTAATTCAAAATATGCTTTTTATGTTACCTATTTGTTTCCAAGTTATTTATGATTAAGACTTCAACTGGAAAATTTATCATTGCCCTTGACAATTAAATTATTGATTTTAAGTAATAGTTATTGAATTGATTGATAACAAGAGATGTTGCTTATGTAGAATTGGAGAACACAGATTCTCCTAGAGTAAAAAATAGACAAATTTCTTTAAGAATCATATTTCAAATCATTAGCTATTCTTTTAAAAAATTGGCAGAAGCTGATTAAGAGAATAGCTTCTGGGCTTACTCCTTTAGCTGGAACTCTTAACTGGAAAGTTAATAAATGTAGCTCAAAAGACTCAGGATGTAGTTGAGTGAAAATTTCTCAGTATATGGAAAGCAAAAAAAAATAGAAGTTTAAAATAGAATCAGAAAAATATAATGGTACTACTTACTCCTTTCTTGTTTTATGTAGCTTGATTTAAATAATGAGCCACTCACTTGCTACTAAGCTTGTAAAAGCATTCATTTACTCAGTGGAGGCAGAACATATTTTCATTAAATTTTTTTCCTTATAATTTAATATATAGGAAAAGAATTTATCAAGTAGAGTATCTTAACTATTTTTGTTTCTTCCACCCCCCCAAAAAAAACATTGTTCATACTTTTGAACCCTATTTATGTAGTTTTCAGTGAAACTCGAGAATACTAATAAAATAGAAATGAATGAAGTGTTCAGGATACACGCCTCTACTCATCGACTCACATGTGTCTCACAGATCCAGCTTCTTGAAAGTGAATTTTTGTGAAGTAGGTTAGCAGTTTTTTTGGTTGTTGTTAAGTGCCATCCTGTCAGTTCCAACTCATAGCAACCCTGTATAGGGTTTCCAAGGAGCAGCTGGTGGGTTTGAACCACCAACCTTGCAGTTAGTGCTTACCCTACAGTGCCACACAAGGACTCCGTATAATGCAGAATACATTTCAGAGGCAGAGTTTTTCAGAAAAAATTTTTTTAAATTAATATTCGTGTTTAACAATTTATTTAAAGGGATACTAGATTCAGCATTCTTATGTTCTTTATTTTAAATATTTTTTTTATGAAAAGGGACTTAACAAAATTACTATGATTATCTAAATTACTTACAATTGTTTAGTCTTGGTAAAATTAAACTTTAGGAAATACCATCTAGCCTTAATTTAGAATGACTTAAAAATTATGGGCATTTAATAAATTCGCCTTTTGGAAGCTACATTTTGTTAGAAATTTTTTTTTTTCCCAGTTTCAGGCCAAGTATCCTATTTTCTTTAAATAACTAGGTCTGAAAACCAAGAAAACCTCAAAGGAAAATGTTCTATAATCTACTTATTTATTTGAAAGGTATATACGTTTCTCTTAATACCTGAAACTTGTTTTAAAACAAAAAAACCAGTATTCACTTCAAATCATAAACTTACAGAGAACAGAAATAGGTTTATGATCTTGCTTTTAAGTGAGGCTGTTTCTTTTAGGGCATTACTTCTCAACCGTTGTTATTAAGTGCCATCGAATCAGTTCTGACTCATTGCGGCCCTGTATAGGGTTTCTGAGGAGCATCTGGTGGGTTTGAACCCCTGACCTTGTCATTAGCAGTCCAGTGCTTATCCTAGAATTGGGAGTAATCACCTAGGGAGTTTGTTCAAAATGCACATTACTGGGCCCACTGTAGAATGCCAATGTGCCCTTAGACCTCATTTTAAGAAACACTACTGCAGTTTTTCTTTTCTTTATCCTGTGGTTAAATATTAGAAAGAGTATTTATGATACAACAGTTTGAGGTGGGATACACATTGAGTTATTTATCCACAATATTAAATAAGTTTTGAATAAATGGCTTCAAGTTAGATTTCTTCTCAAAAAAGAAAAAAGATTTTATACGCATGTTCTAATGTTACAAATAATGGCATTTTTCTATGATGAGGTTTTAAACCATTATTCAGGTTTGTTTTTAAATGTTTTTTGAACTAATACGATTTAAAGTTTATATTTTATACAGAATTACATTACAAATAATGTGTTTAATTACATTGTTTTTGCAGTGCCATGCCAGTTCTTTGTATATTATATAGAAGACTTTCTCTCAAAATACTCACCAGAGGAATAAGGCAGTGTGATGGTCAGAATGGTTAGAATTTTGGTGTTCTAAAAAACAAAGTATTTTGCATTAGCATGATATTTGTGGTCAGATCATTTTATGTGTATGTAGTCTGGAATAGATACCAGGTATTATTATGTTGTTCAGTACTGGTACATTTGCATTACATTTTTTTTTTTCTTGTTTGTTGTCATTTTTGTTTTGTAATGTAGAATATGCTGCCTTGGTCATCATAATCTTTATTTGCATACTTTTCTTTCTTTTTTTTTTACTTTAAAATCTTTAAATAAAATGTTTAATACCCATCTAGAGTGGAGCGTTTTTAATATGTTGTTATTGCTAAGTGCTGTTGAGTCCATTCAGACTTGTAATGACCCTGTATAGGGATTCTGAAGAGCGGTTAGTGGGTTTGAACTGTTGGCCTTGTGGTTCAAACTGATCTTACGTTCCAGCGCTTAATCTTACAGCAACCATACCAGGATATGTAGCATATCAGAAATTTGTATATGAACAAAATTATATCAAAATTTGTTTAAGAAGAATAAAAATTTAGTTTGGGATTTTGTTGTACTTAATGCAGCATTCTAGTAGTGTTGATACTACATGGTAAACGCTCACTCATAAACATAAGTATTCTACCTTGAATCATACCTTTTCATAAATCTTTTCTAGTAAAAAGCAAATTAGTTAAATCAGCTAAACAAATTCCATTTTAGCAGGGTTTTAAACTGAAGCAAATTTAAGCAGGTTCAGAACAGATTGTTTTCAAATTAGATTGTACAGCGCTGTCTGTTCTGTTCTAGAATTCCAGAACTTTTTCAATTTCAGTTAGTGTTTACATAAATGCAAGTATGAGCCTGGTGTTTCACACTTTCCAGCCTTCATTACTATAACTCTTCTCCCCCCCACCCCAAAGAGAAGAACTCCTTTTGCTTAATTGACTGATCAGAGAGCAAAGGCCTATATATTAAATCATCTAAAGAGTCATCTCCTGTGTCTTCTCTCTTATTTTATCCCAATCTCAGCTTCTGCTAAAAATGAAGTTATAGGCAGCATTAACAAAGTGCTGTCCAGGCTTCCTGTACCAAACCATATATTTGGTGGTTTTTTTGTGTGTAAAGTCCCAAAACAAAGCCCAAAGAGGAATTTGAAGCTTTAGGGCAAGTTTGATTTGAGATGATTAGTCATTGGGCAACTAGTTCCTGAAATGTAATGCCTTGTGTTCAACAGGGAGCCATGAGGTGTATTTGGTGGTTCCCTTTCTTACCCTCTGTTCTAGGATTTCGGGATCAGTTAAGATCCAAGTGGTCTGGTTAGGTTTGTTTCCATAGTTCATTGTTCTAGAATTTACTGCAATTCAGGAAAATGTTTCTATTTAACAGATATTTCCAACATCCTCATATCATTATCACACGAAATCCTAACTAAAATGTTTGCCTCCATATTTTACTACTCAACATACTAAATTAGAGTTATGTCTTAGAGAATTTTGGTGATATGAGAAAAAAAAGGCTTCCAGAAATTCTGGCTTGAGTTTTTTTTTTTTTTTTTAAGTTTCTGTTTATATAATCCCTTGTAAATAGGAAATCTTTTTCTATGATTAAAGTGAAAAAAAAAAAAATCAACATTCTTTTCCAAGAGTGCAGTCTGAAAAAGGTAGCGATGGAATGAGAGACCAGTAGAAGAGAGCCATTTGTCCAGTTCTCTCAGATTTGTGATTCTATCTGCTTCTCCACCACCAGGGGCCAGTCTCTTGCTGTAGTAAAGGTCAGAGTTAACGATGTAGTTTAGTCCTCTGGACAAGGCAATATATTCAATATAGACACGTTACCATAAGGTTCTGTGATGTTTTTAAATTTTTTATCAGCCTTCATATTTTGAATTTATAAAATTGTTAAAAATCAATATGCTGCTTGAGTTGCCTTTCTAAAGGAAGCCTCAGGAACGCTGTATGGCAGTCTGACAAGTTTATATGAAATTGCCTTGCTGCCTTTAAACAATTGGGGTATTAGAACTTCCATATTCATTCAACACAATAAGTATGGGGGCCTACTATGTGCTCTCTCCCCCATAGATCACTGGAGAGACATCAAACAAGAGCCTAGTCATTCCATGTTCAGGGTACTTCTACATCTGTGAAGAGCAAACCAACATCAATTTTGGTCATTTAAATTACTTGCAAAGGAATCCAATAAAAATAAAAACCTAGGAAGTATCCACGTCCTTTAGTTATGGGACTTTTCTATGACCTATCAAATATTTTATGATGATAAGATAGTGTCATTCAGGAGTAACAGCATAATGAGTATGGAATTTTTAAATTTTATTTTTTAAGTTTTTACTGTGCACTGAAGGAGCTCTGGTAGCATAGTTACGAGTCAAGCTGCTAACCTCAAGGTCAACAGTTCAAAACTACCAGCGATTCTGCAAGAGAAAGAGGAAACTTTCTGCTCCTGTAAAGATTTACAGCCTCAGAAACCCTATACAGGGTCGCTATGAGTCAAAACTGACTCCACGGCACACTACCACCACCACCACCACTACTGTGCATTGATTGAGTGAAGGTTTGAAGAGCCTCAGTTCCAGTCAATAAATCATACACTTTGTGTCATGCCAGTGATTGCAGTCCCTTCCGTGCACCAGCAGTTAACAGTATGCACCTCTGTTCACTTTAACCCTTGCACTCCTTGTATGTCATCCACTGCCTTCATCTTTCCTGTCAGATCTCCCAAGTTAACATGTGTCTGCCCTCTACCCAGTGAATAAATTGC